GTCAGCTTTTACTGACTGTGGAGCAATGTCTCTGATGCATAGCTCATCTCTTTCAGGACTTTCTCAGCAGCCGGGAAAGGTCTACAGTGGGACCTGTATGTGTGGTGACAGGGAGGGATATTGACCTATGTCATACTGCCAGTATGGGGTACTTAAATATCCCATTTCATTTAATTCTCAGATTACCTCAGAAATGTTAAGATCTGCCCAGGATCACAACTAGTAGGTGTCACAACCAAGCCCCGAAGTCCTGTACAACTCCACTCGGTTCTCTCTATTCCATCAAGCTGCTTCTGGGGCGAGCTAGCCACACACCCCTGGGGAAGACCAAGGCCAGAGATACTGCAGACTAGGCAAGCAGGTCTCAGTGGTGTCAGCCCTGAGTACACATCAGAATCTTCAGGAATGTTTAAAGGACACACACGTGAGAGCATGCAGACATATGCATGCACGCGCACACGCGCGCGCACACACACACGTCAGGGCCATCCCCAGAGATTCTGGTCTCACTGGTCCGTGATAGGGTCTGGGCACTGGTCTGTTTCTTTGAAAACTTTCCTGCTAATTCCAAGGTGCAACCAGGGCTGTGAAACATTGACTTTTCTTGTTTCTTGCGCTTAAAGTCAGTCTGACACACACAGGCCTGCTGGTCCGTGGAACCAAACTGAAAACCTAAGGCTGTTTCTAACTTTCACTTTGCCCTTAACCCTCTTGGGGACTTTAGAGGGTTGTGGTGAAACCATTGGGAGGTAATGATGCAACAGCTGTACTAGGTATGTGCTTCTGCCTCCAGAACCCTTACTATAGTCAAGACCGCTTCCTGTTGGTCTTGCTGCTCCATTACCCAGCACTGTACCTAGCACATTAATACACACTAAAACCCACTGGTTGAATGAAAATGAATAAATGATTTTTAAAAAACAAATTAACATTTGAAGGCCCTATTGAGCAACCTACTCCGTCAGTGGACAAAGGCCCCAGAAGTACAAATACCCTATACATAAATCCACTGTGGGCATCACGTCACAGGATTGCGGATCAGGGGTTCTATTTATGTGAGTCTTGATAGGTCTCCATGGAGAAAGTAACGAGGCTCCTGGGGAGTGTGTTCCGTCCTGGGAATCTGGGTCAGCTCTTGCCTGCCTTAACCCATCATGCAGCAGGCCCTGGAAAGGGCCCAGCATCATGCATGCCCTGGGCTTCTGCACAGCCTCCCTGCAGATCTCACCTGGCCGTCTCAGACCCGTTCCTGCCTTCTCGCCTCTCCCTGGCTCTTGCCCCCTACATCCTTGGCCAGACCCTGCCTCTCTGGTTCTGACCTTGGCTGTCCTCCTGTCAGGCATAAACCCTTCAGGGTGCATGGGTGGCTGTCACTCTGAATGAATTCCCTTCTCATCCATTACCCACAAAGCTGGTTTCCCCACTGTGCTTAGTCAGGCTCCGTGGATTATCATCAGGCACCACCTGCATTCTCAGGGAGGGGTCCCAGGTGAGCAGGACACTCGCCCTGGACAGAGCGGCTGTCCCCAGTCTCCGTTCCCGCACAAAGGCAATGATTGAATGTTGGTGGGAGGGACACATTCAGATGGGATATGTCATCGTGGCACTCTTAGCAGAGTAAAACAAAACTCAGAAATAAGTCCCATGTCCCCAGAGGACACATCGTGGCAGTCGCAGCAGAGTAAAACAAAACTCTCAGAAATATGTCCCATGTCCCCAGTCCTTTAGGGGAGAGAGAGGATGTTCTAGAAAACTAAAAATATTCAAATGAAGAAGTTGGTCCACTGGCAAAATTGTAAGAAAGGAAGCAAGATTTCCCTGATTTCAGACCCTATGAAAATAACCCTGGAGGCAACTTAGGGAAGTGGAGCAGCATAGAAATGACAGAGACTGTGGACATGTGGAAAGAATGATGAAAACATGGAGATAAACGACAGACCTAAAGGACAGGTGGGCCTCACAAAGCTGGGCTAGTTGACAGTAATTGACCTGCAATTCCCACCAATTCAGCCATGAATTAGCAGCCACGGCCACCAGGTGGCAACAGAGTAGAGGATGGGGAGAACTTCAGCAGGTATGAGAAGCGGGCAGGAGAAGTAGGGGATTTGCGGGGCTAAGGGTCCAGCGGTTCCACAGGGGGCGACTCAGAGGTGAAGATGAGGACATACTTTGGACCTCACAGTCTTAACTCTTCTTGCCTGGCTGGAAGCTAAAGGGGTGCGATATTGGGCAACTCTAGGTGTCAGTAATCAGGAAAAAAAAAAAAAAGCTCTTTGTTTCCCTTTTTCCAATTCAGTGAGAATTCCATTCTGTGTGATTCTCAAACTCAAGGCAATATATGTAAAAAACATGTAAAAAGAGCCTAGCATGGTGCCCTGCACCCAGTAAATCCACCCAAAATGTTAGTTGTCTCTCCTCCAGCCTCATCTGGGCTTGATCCATGTCGCTCCGAACTGAAGTACTCTTGAACTGAAGCCCGCAGCCCCTCTAGCCAGAGACCCTTTTGTCCCGACGCCTTTGTTGTAACAGATTTCTCACTGTGAGGCCCAGGCAGCTGCCAGGCCCCCCACCCCCCACCCCCCAGGAGCTAGAAAGTTCGCTCACAAACAGTGCATTATAGCAGTCCTGCCCCCTCCCGCCGCTTGCCCTAGCCCCACACCCAGCCTCCAAGCCATGCTGCCCTGCACAGGCTCGCCCCCCCCCCCCCCCCCCCCCCCCCCCCCCGACAATGTGTTTCTAATCTGCCCGGGAACAGTCACCACGCTCGGGTTTTCCTGCCTGGCCTAATCAGCTTCGCCTCTGGGCCTTGGCGTCCTGGGGTGTGTAACCCAGAGGCTTGCGCGGAGGTGATCAGATTGCAGGGAACAGTATGTTTTTCTCCCTGCCTCTGCTTGTTTTCTTCAGGGTCAAGGGCCAGCCAGCTGAACCGTCTTTCTCTTGCTTCACTCCTACCCTCCCTGGGACGTAGTCGTTGCAGCGGGTGCAGGCAAAAAGAGCCGCGGGATGCACAGGGAGTATGAGCTGTGCGCAGGGTTGCGGCAGGCAGTAAGATGGCTGCTGCCATGGGGAATTCATGCAGACCAGTCCTGGCCAGATCTCTTAAAGTGGTCTGTTCTTGCTTTGCTTCTGCTGTCCGGAGGAGTTTTTCCCCTGCTCTGTGCTGAGCTGTCATTTTTCAGTCCAGCCCGGCCCTTACGAACTTCCGGTTCCTCTGGGCAGTAAACACTGTGGTTTCCCAGGCCACAGTTCTGCTCTTTTCTCATTTTCTTACAAAATGCAATTTAAAAATGTTAGAAAAGTTTAAATGTTTAAATGGCCAGGGTTTAAATATTTAAAAGAACAATTCAATAAAATGTTGACTGAGTCTAGGACCTTCTTCAACTTTCCTTTTCCTTGTTGGCAACTTCAGATAAGAAATCAGGTGCGGGGTGAAACTGGAGAAATGTTCATCCTTTTAGAGCAGTATTAAAATGACTATTTTTAATAAAAACATTAAACAGTTAATAATTAAAGCACAAGCATTTTTATCCCTAGAAAGGGTTAGAAAGGGTTGGAGTTCCTTCTGGCCAAATCACATTTTCCACAGAGATGGTAACAAGATGAGTAAGAATATAAGAAGTGAGACTAGCCTCCCAAAATGTCATGAGGTCAGCTGGGGGTGAGCTGGCCTCTGGGGTCCCAGCCTCAGCCTGGTGTCATCTGCTGCTCAGACTGTCCCTGCAAACACCAGCTCACTGACTGGACATGGCTGTTCAGCTTGTATGGCACCAGCAAGCGAGCCCCATTCTGATCGTACTGCACACACCCGGTGATGACATTGAATATTTCATCACTTACCCTGCAGCAGACTTTTTTACTTACACCAGTTCAAAACCCAGAAGAATACTTTACTATTTCACTTTCAGTGCAAAGTCAGTATCCCTTTTGTAAATTAAAAGAAGCATAAAAATAGAGAAATGATGACCTGAATCCAAAAAAGCAAGAGAATACTATTAATTTTTCATACCTTACCCATAGCAATAAATCTAATCAATTTATGAAAATAAGTTCCTCAAGAGAAAATTTATGAACCTAAGTTCCACTGAGAAAAAAGAAAGAGTTTATAATCCTTCTGTGAAAAGGAAGCTACTGAGTTTGCAAGGCTGATGAAGGATGACATGTAATGGAAGCAGTTACTTAGGTACACAGCCAAACTCCCTGGCTGTGGGTCCCAGCTCCCCACTTGGATGCTGGGAGACAAGGGTTAGTTCTCCACATCATTGTACCTTAGTTCCTTGTTTGCCAAATTGACATGGATCTCCAAGTTATTTCTGACAACTATGTTTGGTAACGCATGCAGTACACTTACTATAGTGCCTGACCCATCACTTAGTAAGCTCCCCATGAATGTTAGCTATACTAGTAACTAGTAGTCATAGTATTAGCATTAGCAGTATTCATGGATTTAAAATTCCCACTCACTAGGGTATAGCACCAAAAAAAATTGAAGAAAGTATTATTTAACTATTCTCCCTATTAAATTGGTTACTAGCCAGTTCTAGCCAAAATGATGGAAGTGACTTCTGCCCAACAAACTTCTCTTTGGATAAGGCCTCTGAAGCAATCTCCAAATTTCAGTCTTGGCATGCATCACGTTATCTGGAAATGTTTGGAAAGTGATGGAAATGAGCTCCTCATCTACTACTCCCTGATGAATTCCAGTCTAGAAAAATACTTGTAAAGATATTTTATTTCATTTTCTAAAGATCCCTTCATAATATTCCAAACAAGGAGCTAGTTATTCAGATGACTGCACAACCATATGGTTCAGATAATGAAAAAATTTTCTGATATTTGAAATGAGTTGAATACTTGCTTCAGTTTAGAACACACATTCCTGGGTCCTTGGTGTACTGTCTGATACAGCTACCACTTCTTATTAACTGTGTGCTAGGGAGGATTCAAATATTTAATTCTCATAATAGCCTAATGACTTAGGTACTCTGTCTCCATTTTTACAGTTGAGAAAACTGAAGCTCAGAGAGGTCATGTGACTTCAGATTTGACCATTAGTCATGGATTCAAGACTGGGATTCAAGCCTGCTGCATCTCCATGCTTCCTTGCCTCCATGGGCGCTGCCATATCACCGGAGGCTGCAGCACTGTCTTGGTCATTCCCATAAGCCTGAGCTCAGAGCAGGGCTCTAAGGTGAGATGTTCTGCTTCCTGTAGATTCCTGTTGGCCCAGTCCTACCAGGAAACCCAGATAGTGAGCAAAGAAATCTTGGGCACGGGTGTGCATTGCAGTATGTGCAAGATAATGCAATGGCCCCAGAGCCTGAAAAGAAATCACAGTGCCTTCTCCTGCACCTGGAACTGCTCCCTACTCCATCCCCTCCCTCCTTTCTGCCCTTCCACTGTAGCAACCACCACTCCAACCTCCCTTTGTGTACTAGCAAAATCATCTCTGTTGGCCTATATACCATGTATAGGAAAAATTGAATTAACACATAGTAGGTCTCTAAGACATGTGAGAATAAATGATAAATATAATTGAAAGTTTCTTTGACCATACGTTCCTCAGGGCAAGACATTTGTTGGATTTATCTCTATCTTGTTAAAGCCTAGAAAGGCACCGAGTACATAGTAGATGCTCAGAGATCATCAGTTATTGAATATTTGTCACAAAGGAGCAGGAGGAAAGCTAAAGAAGGGATAGTTTGGGTTTTATTTTTAGTGCCAATGTTCAAAGGTATTTAAAAGAAAAATGTTCCCCCAAATGCTAAGCACTTCATCAAATTCCTAGAACATCCCAGCTTGAGATCTTCCTTTTATATCTCACCCCCTTCCTATTCCCACTTCATTCTGGAAGTTCTCTGGTTATTGGGAAAGGTTCTAAAGGCAGAGGGCTCGTCTTGGGGAGACAAGCAGGGACAAGAGGTGGGAGTGGAGGAAAAATAAGGGATGCAGCAAAGAAATACAAGAATAAGAAAATGCTCCTGTTTCTTCCCATGTGCTTCCAGGTTGCCAGGAGGGACACTAAGACCTGCCATCAATGCTTCCCACCCTTGCTGGTGCCGTAGTCTAGGAGAGAAGCTCCAGACCCCTGAACTCTAATGCTTGAGGAGATTGAAAGTTGATTAGCATTGTCACTATCTAAGGTCATCTTTCTTCTGAGTCCATCTGATTCCTTTCCAATATTAGCTGCCTGAGGACTGGTGTTCCTTTTCAAAGCAATTGAAATATGCAGATTCAGGAGGATTTGCCTGGAAGGAGCCTCTGAGGAGGCTTGGGCTTTAGAGGAAGGTGGGAGAAGAAGGGAGCTGTCTTTTGATGGGAGCATCTGTGGAAAGAAGGAGTTCTCTTTGGAGATGATACCCATGGACAGGTGATAGAGGTCGTCATGGGGAAGCTCATTCAGGGAGGGTGGACGCTGTTCTGAGGAAGCTCATGTGGTCCTGGGAGAGTCCCAAGGGGCCCCAGCTTCCATGGAGTGTCTCCTCGCTCCATTACAGCAGATTTCCTCAGACATCACTAACTAATGTCAAAAGAGCCTGTAGAAGGGATGGAAGAGTTGGCTTTAGCCCTACCGATCACTGTTAACTTTATTGCTCTCTGTCCATTACATTTGTTTAGAGAGTCTCAGGACTGTTCCTCACAGCCCAGCTCTGGCTAAATTTTTGGTGGCAGAATGTTGCTTTGAATTCAGCATTTCCGGATAGGGTCATTGTGGCCTCCAGTTTCATCTCTCTTACTGACCCATTGCACTTCTTGTTTTCTTTGACCTTGAGAGCTGTGTGCTTTGGTGTTTTTACCCTACAAGCAATTTCAACTTTCTCCTTTCACCCAGGCCAGCCGTGGCTCCCTGTTATTTCAGTCTCGGCTCAGTATCACCTCCACCCAGGTCATGTTTTTTTTGAGCCTGACCCTGTTGCTGTCACAGCCAACTTACTCAGCTCTCAGCCTCAAAAGCTTCAAAGTCTCAGCCCAGCCCTAGACACAAGACAGGATTAGTCTAGTGTGGATTTTTGAGCCCCAAAGTTGAAGACTTTAGATACCTGACATCAAGTGCACGTGTGATCTGGGACACTAATAAGTGCATGTGTGATCCAGGACACTAATGCTACAGGTCCGCATTGGGATAGCTATTGGGTGTGTTCCTGATCATATGACACACAGCACACATACTTAGTAGGCCTTTTATGAAGGTAAGCCTGGAGATGTTTACTGACTCCTTTGAAACCCTAAATTCAGAATAAAGGAAATGTCACTCGAAATTGGGCTTGTGGTCTGTTCCATTCAGGCAATAACCATAAGAGCCAACATCTGCTATACAGTGCTGGCATTCTGTTAAGCACTTCTCAAACATTTTCTTATTTAATATGGTTGTCCTCATAACAGTGTTGTGGGATGGACGTTATTATCATCACTTTATAGATGAATCTGGAACTTAGACAAAGTAATTTGCCCAAGGTCACATATCTTGCATGCTACAGAAAAAGACTTGAACCCCAATCTATTTGAAACACAAGCCCAACTTTCTAACCAATTACACTCTGGGGCCAAGGCTCTTCAGTGGAGAATCATACTCTGTGTTAAGATTGGGGTTGGGATTCCCAAAACACTGTTCAGTTATCTCAACAACCATGACAATGTTGTTATCTATGAGTTACTCAAGTTCCTTGAATATAGATCTTCTGCTTGAACAATGTCTTGAGTAAATGGTTTTAATCAGATTAATATGTATTATGTGCTTCCTTTCATGTGAACTAATGCTACTGTCTTCAATCTTGAAAGAGCTGTCCTTAATTCTAATACTACAAGATTTATAAATTCCAATTTCTCCTCATACAAACTTACAATTTTCTTCAGATTAATTATCTCATGCTTTAAGGCCTCATTTTCCCTCATTTCCCACGCCAAAGCCCTGCTTTCAGTGTTTTTGTAAGGCAGCCGGCTCATACCTCCCTTCCTGCCCCTGTACTCCAGACAACCCAAAAACTCTAGGCTGTTCCTCACCTATGCTGTCAGTTCCCCACAACCCTTCAAGCTGACATGCCCTTCCTTTATCTCCATCTGTTTCTTATCTCCTCATAGTCAAAATGTATACTTCATCATGATCTCAAAGATTATCCCCTCCTTGCAGTCTTTTTTGATACCCCTCACATGGAACCTATTTCACTCTCTTGTTAAATAACCACAAGACTATATATTTGTGGGTGCTTCATATGACACTTTGCACTTTATTGGGTTTCAGTTACACCAAACATTTCATATTTCTCCTCTAGATTCTACCTACCTGAGGGCAGAGTGAATCTATTTCCTAGGCACTTGTATTACCTTGGGTACTCACATACTGGTTCAATGCATGAATGAATATATACATATATATATACATATCAGTGGTTTGCATTGATTTCTTTTCTGGAACATTTCTATTTCTTTATCACAACTAGATAACTCCAGCTGCTTTGAAGCATTCCATGTGATGGATTACTGTGAGTATATATAAGGCTAAGACAAATATTTTTATAGCTTGTATCTGACTGTCTCCAACATTTTATTGGTCACTTAAAATTAAATATATATACATATCAGTGGTTTGCATTGATTTCTTTTCTGGAACATTTCTATTTCTTTATCACAACTAGATAACTCCAGCTGCTTTGAAGCATTCCATGTGATGGATTACTGTGAGTATATATAAGGCTAAGACAAATATTTTTATAGCTTGTATCTGACTGTCTCCAACATTTTATTGGTCACTTAAAATTATAGTGGCACATTGAATCCAAGTCTTCCTGGAGAGGTCAGACCCTCTGCTGGATCAGAACTGGAGGCACTGTGCTTGTCATTTCAAAATGCAGTGGGGCTGTTTCTTTCATTAATACATTACTTTGCTTGACTTTAATCTGAACATACTTCACCTTATGTACAAGGTGAAGATTGCACTGGGCATTCTTTCAAATTATATATTTTACAGAGATATTATTAATTGTTTTTGTGCCACTGTGACCAGAAAGATCTCAAAATTAAAGACACGTGTGGTAAAAGGAACTGAACATCTTAATTCCTCTCCCCTAATATTTAAAATGTGCAATGAGTTGGGCTGAATTTCTGGCCCATGCTGGAGTGCAGAACTGTCAACCCAGGTACCACCTTGATGAGTACTGGCTAAATCTTTATTGACTGCACACACACCGTGAATATTTTAACTAACGTTATTCATAATATATTGTGTGCCCACATGCAGCTGATGTACAGAATACCGAAAGGCACAATCTGCAGGGAGTTCAAAGGCCTAAGAGCTGCCTTTCAGCTCAAAATTTGCCTCTTTTAGTGAGCCTTCATCGTGTTCAAAGAAAAAAAAGAAATCCTGATTATCCAGTAGTTTTTGCTGCAATCATATTATGTTCCTATGTGAAAACGTTCTTTCAAAGGAGATTGTAGTGTTTGCACAAAAAGGCCCTTCAACCTATTTTAATTTCTAGTCTATTTTTCTACCATATAAAAGAAATTTTTCTCCGTGTCATATAGATTATGACTCCAAAGGCTCTCCAGGAGAGGCAGAACTCAAAGATAAATGTGCCTAAGGAATTACCTAAAAGAAGTCTGCATAATCACAAACTACCTCACACAGAAGGTAAGGATTGCAGTGGGCATGCTTTCAAATTATATGTCTAGAGACGTCATTATTGTTTCTTGTGCCATTACTACCAGCAAGATCTCAAAATTAAATGTCTCATCTAAGGCCCACTAATTCAGCATCTCTGGGGGATAAAGCCTGTCACCTGTGTTCTTTTAAAATGCTCTTCTAGGATTCTGATCAGTTGTCCAGGGACCAGACTTTGAGAAAAATTTGGAAATGGTAAAGCAGAAAAACTGTGAGGGAGTTATCCCAGCATCCAGGGCTACCAGAATAGAAAAGTGCTGACTTCCCATGGGGTGTGGGGTCAACGCAGGGCCCTGCCTGTTCCCTGCTCAACATGAGAGCCCCTGTCCTTAACAATGAATGTAAAGTCTGGGTCAAAATGGTATAATAGAAATGCCATGGGCTGATAGCACAAGAAGACCTTGTCCAACCAGCTGTGAGATTTTGGGGAGACACTTCATCTCTTGGATCATCATTCATGAAATGAGAGAGCTGGACCCAGTTATCTGTCCTGGTGCCCAGCTAGCCCATGCATTCATTCAGCAAATACCCAGGCATTGCCTTTAGAGCATCCCTGTCCAGCACAGACATAATGTGAGTCACATGTGTAAGTACAGATATTCTAGCAGTCATAGATCAAAAAGTAAAAAGAAACAGGTAAAATTAATACTAGATTTTATTTAACCCCATATGTCTGAAATACTGTCATTTTAACATGTAATCAATATAAAAATTATTGAGACATTCTATATATATTTTTTGGAAATCTGGCTATATTTTGTGCTTCAGGACTTCCCAGTTCAGACTAGTGACATCACCAATACTCAGTAGCCATTCATGAAGTGCGGCTATCGAGCAGGGATCTACAAATTGTGCCCTAGGGCCAAATCTGGTCTCGTGTCTGTTTTTGCATGGCCCACTAGCTAAGAATGATTTTTACATGTTTAAATTACTGAAAAAAAATTTTTTAAGAATATTTCATATAATATTTCGAAAAGAATATTTCATATATATGTGAAAATTATATGAACTTTAAATTTCAGATGCACAAATAAAGTTTTTTTGGAACTTAGCCATGCCCATTCATTTATATATTATCTATGGCTATTTTTGTAGAACATTGGAGTTGAATAGTTGAAACAGACACCATTTTGAAAGGGCTACATGTTTGTTCTCTGGTTCAGAAAAAAATAATCACAGAAAAAGCTTATAGAACCCAGAGAGGAACCCTAAGAGCTAGTCCTGGAGGACTGGCTGCCTTTGGCCCTTGGCCATTTGTATATAAGCAGGGCTTGACTAATGCTTGGCTTGGATGACTTAGCAAGGCTCCATCCAAAGAGTTGGGGGTGCTGGACAGAAGAAGTTCAGGGGGCCAGCCAATAATATGGAGTATTGACAGATGCCATAGCAGAATGTAAAGTATGGCAGGCCTAGTATGGGAGCTTGCAGCAAAGTGGGACCTACTAGATAGCAGGCTCCTAGACAGGGGCCAGGGTTGGAGGTGGCACCCAATGGAAGAAGGGCTCTGAGGATGGACGAGCCAACTCTAGAAGTCTGAACCATTTACCTGTGGGAATGGTTCGTTCTGATTTGACCCTTAACTAAAATAAGTGCACAGAACAGCAGCTGTCTGTTCTTATTTGTCACTGTTTTGTCTTTAAATTCCTGTTCTTATCTTATTCAAGCTCTTTCAAAGTCCATTACTTGTGCTGCATCCCTCCTGGCTGTTCTCACCAGCTCTGGATCGGGGTTTGTAGATTGGCTAGCCGGTCTTCTGCTGCCCTGGCTGTGAATGTGCATGACTGAAGGGTGGTCTAGCCCAGGACCTTGAGTTCAGGGAACCTTTCCAGGACCGTAATCACCTGGGACAAGCTCCATCAAAGGCATGTTTTGATCTATCAACCCCTTGTCCTGGCCCAACCCTTTTAGTTCCTGTAAGTCACCTTTGGGTAAAATAAAGATAACATTTATTAATTTTTCTCTTTTAAACAATTGGAAAAATATGACCAAGCCTTTGGCAGGGGGTGGGGGGGAACCTTTCCTGACCTCTTTGATCCATTTCCTTGTGAGTTAAAAATTCCTGGTAGTATTTCTTTAATGTGGTAGCATTTTTGCTGTATTATTCCATAACTACTTTTTAACCCTGTGACCCAATCATTTCTGCTTTCATTCATTTTAAAAAAATTCTTTTCACTTACTTTCATGACCATAAGCTCATTTAAGTCTGGAAAATAGTCGCATGTTGTGGGAAGGGTGTTATTAGTTCCATGTTTACAGACTCAGAAACTGAGGCCCAGAGATGTCAAGAGATTTGCTCAAGTTCACACAGCTAGTTAGTGGTCAACCTGAGTTGAATGTAAAGTCTTCTGACTGCCTGGGCACATGATCTTCTGCTACATTTTACTGGCTGCCTGTTATTCTTCCTTTCTTCTTTCTTTGTTTGTCTCAATATTTCATCCTTTCAATTCATTTTAACTTTAGACCATGTGTTCTCCACCATCCAAGTCCTCTCCTTTTCTCTCAGCAACGCTCATGTCGTATCTTCTCTGAAACAGCCACAGAGCCTCCGGCCTCCTCAGCATCATTTCTTGCTGGACCAGTAGGACCGCATCATGTGCTGGGAGTCTCTCTCCTCCTTGTCATGTACTTGATCTCACATTCTGATCTTTTCCCACTATCTTTTGAGCTTCAGCCCACTTGATGATATGGGGGAAAGGGTGGCTCTTGTCTGCTCTGACAGAGAACAGCAAACCTGAGATACCCAAAACTGAGGTTCCCAGCCAAGATCCTTTTCAACCTTAAAGCACCCATAGTGAGTTGCAGAGACACTGGGAATTATCCCAAGCATTCAAAGGTCAATGTGAGTTACCTTGAGTTTTTTTTAAATCACAGTTGTTGGAGCTGGAGAATCCTTTAGAGATGATCTTATCCATCCTTCTCATCACAGATGAGGAAGCTAAGATCAAGAGGTGTCTGAAATTCAACCCCCACATGGGTGTTGGGAATGAGCATCCTACACTATAAAATAGTTGGGACTTATTGGCTTAATTTATCTTGAAGAACGTACTGGATTGTTGTTTGCATAAATTATCACCTGGATATTGCCTGGAATATCATCAAATAAAATGAAAGACCACAGAACATGACAACCAAATGGAACAAGATTTTTCTTCTCCAGCGTATCTCTTTTTGAACTAGTTAGTAGCTCCCTACTGAATTTTCTGTGCATCTCTGAAATGTCACCTAAGAGTCATTCATTCATTTAACCAACATTGGGAAAGTCAGATGATCTCTAGGTTTCATATATTTTTCTAGATCCTTGATCCTATTTTCTAGATCACCATCTGCTTGAGGAAAGGGACCCGCCAGTAGGCACCATAATGCAGCCAAAGGAGGTAGACCCAGGGTGCAGGGAAGCCCCCAGGGCAGACACCCTACCCAGACTTGGGAGGTGAGCCTGGAGGTGGTGGGTGTGTGATCAGGAAAGATTTGCACAAGGAGGCAACTGACTTCCAGGTGGAAGTCCAGGATGGGCAGAAATGAGCCACTCTTTCATTTATTCCATAAATATTTAAGGCGTACCTTATGCGCCAGGCAGTGTGATAGAACATTCCAAGTTCAGAGATGATGGAAGCGTTAGAAGCCCCTGACTCACTGGCCCTCACAGTATAAAGGAGCCAGACAGTGAAAGGTAAACAAACATTATGAAGTGTGACATGCTAGAAAGAAACAAGAAATGTGCTGAAATAGAGTGAGGAGGGAGCATAATAGATGATCAGGAAAGGCCTTGCTGAGGAGGTGATGCTAAAGAGGACCTGAAAGGTAAGAAAGCATTGACAGGAGTATTAAAGTATTAGACAGGAGGCCTGGATGTGCAAAGTCCCTGAAGCAGAAAGCTGCCGAGTCTGTTTTAGTAACTGCAAAAAGGCCACATTGGCAGCCTTCAGTGTGGTGGCATATGCTCCAAACACAGCATGAGCCAGACCTCTAGAGGTCTAGATCCTTCCTAACCTGGATCTGTTGAACCTTTCAAGTAGGCTGAACTCACTAATTGTCTCCCCGGATCACTTGGATGGCTGTCACTCCAGCCTTTCTACTCAGCTGCTGGAGGCAAAATTTCAGAGAGCAAACTAGAGACAGCAGCTCACCAGTGTGTACCGCTCTGGATGAAAACAAACTCTGCAGTCCCAGTGAGATAAATGGAAATTCAGAACTGAGGGCGGCAAGGACAGTTGGCCAGCAGGGGGACAGGCAAGTGGCCAAGGGTTCATGTTTGGATGACAAGGGAAGAAAGAATAAAATGTAAGCGAAAACAAGGACTTCTCTTCAAAGAGTTGGGAAACACCCTCTGCTTCCCTTCATTTCCCAGCTGGGGAGGGCGGCTGCCGGAGGACAAGAGGTCAGGAGGAAGCATTGAGTCCCGGACACCCTGCCTGCTCCCAGGAGACCTGCTGGGGTGGGTGTCACTGGGCCGGATGCCGGAAACAGGAGACACAGGATGCAGTGCTGGAGCCCCTGCCCATGCCAGGGCCTGCCCTGAAGAACTGGACATCAGCAAACAGAAAACCATTCAGACCCTGCAGCCAGTGGGGTTCCCATGGCAACCAAGGGCTCCTGGGTGGCTCCACATCCCTCCTCCTCCTGGACTAAACTTCCCATTTGATCACTTCGGTGAAGTACAGTCTGGGTAAAAGGTGGCAGGAGGGGGTAGTTAGTGGAGGGGGTGCTGAGAGTGGGAAGAAGAAACCTGGTTTTCATATTAAGGTTGAGAATTAAAAGCCCTGGGTTCTCTAGGCAGAGATATAATCAGGCTGTGTTTTGTTGAGCCTGACTTTGTTTCCAGTTCTGGCATCTGCCCGAGGCTCTTTTCTAGCCAAAGGCCACCGGTCACTGCTTCTTCGTGGCCCTTCCCTCGCCATCACTCTTGCCTTCTGGAAAGGAATGCTCTGCTGTCCAATATTGTTCCCAAGTTCCAGCTGGCAGACATCCCTCTGCCCTTTCAGTGGTTGACAGATTAAGGGAAGGGAAAGGAACCCTGGAAAAATTAAAGAAAGGCAACCCCTGGGCCCCACCTCCAAGATTCAGAGTCATTAAACCCTCAGCGGAGTTCTAGCATCTGCAGTTTTCACAAGCACCCTAGTGGATGTGGGTTTTGGTGGATGCTAAACACACACCAAAGAAACACTGTTCTCAGGAATGTAGCCAAGATTGTGGGATTAACAGACTTCCAGGCATGTAAGCCAGGATTCAGACTTGGATGGCAGACACCAGACCCACTGGAGAAAACATCCTCCTGTACAAGGAGGTGTCTTTCCCAACCCCAAGGGTATATATATATATGTCTCAGGCCATTTGCAGCAGCAAGTATCCTTCAGCATCAGTAAGCTGACGCTAAAATCTTCCAAAAGAAGAGGTCCTAGTTCTCCTGCTAGAAATGTGCACTACATTCTCTTTTCCCAAGGGACTCACGGTCTCCAAGACCAGCAGGGCTTATGCAGTGTCTGACTTAAGTTAAAGTGGCTTCACTGGTTGTCATTTCTGATTCTAACAGCTCAAATAAGACCCAGGGGAAGTCACATGAAATAAACCAGAAAATGAACAGAAATGAGCATGACCGAAAAGCTGGGAGGAACGGCTCTCGTGTTGGAAACGGAGGAAATGTTTGTGTTGACTTTGCTTTCCTCTTTGATGCTGATCAGATGGGGTTGTTTTTATTTTTGTATGCAGTGACTATATTTTGCTTTGAGCCTCTGTATTTTGTAAGAACCCTTGGTTGCCTGCCACTTAAGACAAAGAAATTAAGGAAATCTCTGAAGGAATATTTTAATAATTATAAAAAAGTTGATTAAAAAGGAATAAACAATAAGAAGTGGGAAGTGACTGATCTCTTCTCTAGAAACAAAGATGAGCTGTGACTTGTATAGGAAATGTGCTAGCTCCACGTATTAAACGTTAACATACAGAGATTTCCCTGAATGGACCATCCACTGCTTAATGCCCACATTTCAGAACACTTTCCTTTTTTATTATTTTGTATAGATTCACAGTATTACCAGCTAAAACACTGTTTTTTTCCCCCCAGTATCATGTCTCAGAGGTGATGAAGCATGAAGCCAGCAGACAAGAGTATGGAGCAACCAGCAAAGCTCTTTTAATGGGTGGAAAGAGAAAGCAAGGACTCCTGCTAGCCAGGAGGGGCTCCAAAAGAGAAGGCTGTCAGGGCTATGGTGTCTGGGGTTTATATTGCCTCCAAAGAGGAGAAAGTCCCACCACACCCCCTGAACCAGATGGAGAACTGAATTAATGACATCACAACTCCCTCCTGATTGACTGAAAGTACAATACTTCATTTGCATAAAGCAGCTGAGGTCCCTGTACCTTTGAAAGGCTGAACTTCATTTGCGTAGGGCACAACCAATCAGAGCAGCTGAGGTCTAGCTAAGTGGCTGAGTTTGGATTTTAGGAGCTTTTTACAAGGGTCCTGAACTTTATCTACCTGTGTGCCACCACTACCTGCCTCAGTAGGGTCTGGATTTCACAAAGGGTAAGGGTAATAATGTTATATTTCTGTGTATCCATCGTAGTATTCAACATGGTGCCGGCCATCTAGTAGGGATTCAAAAAGTCAGTGTTAATTGGTGAACTTTAAGGAGTAATTCTGATTGCTTCAGTGAGCTTTCTCCAGGCTACAGTTACTACCCCCAGGATGAGAAGACAAAGAAAGAGACATGCAGTGCGTCTTTTGAGCATTGCTGTGTGCTTACTGTATCAGTAATAACTCTCCAGAGACATTGGCCTGATAAGATCCTCCAGAGGCATCTCCAAGACTGAGCTTGACAAGTTAGGCTTCTGAGTTGAAGAATTAAACAAGGGCAGCACAGAAGATTCAGCAATCTGCTGTGTGCAGAAATGCAGGCTCTGGGTCCCTGCCACCTGAGCTGGGGACCCAGCTCTACCACTTACTAGTGCATAACTTCGTACAAATTACTCAACCTGTCCTCATCTGTAAAATGAGGCTCATAATAGAATCCACCATTGTGCTCCGGTGAGGATTGAATGAGAGAATGCGTACAAAGCATTTAGAAAATAGCCCAGCCCATAGTGAGAGCTCAATAATGTTAGCTATTATTAGCATAATTGAGTAATGACCGGAACGGGATTGGTTCATAGACACAGGCTGAGGACTGTAGCCACAGCTTGGAACCCCTGAGATATTCAGGTGGGCTTCTGTCTTGTCTAACTAAGTCTCTTACCCAAGCCACCTGAATTTGTCACTGGATCATTGAGTGTAATGACATCAGATACCTAAACAGGATTCTCTGCCCTGTTCCTCTTCTGGTTTCATTTCCAATAACTCCATTCCATACAAATGTCCTATTCATATTCTTACCAGGCATCTAGATTGTCTAGAAGGAAAGGAAGGTGGCATAGAGCAAAATGTCAGCTCTAGAAACAACAGGTAGGTTCATTAAAGGAAATGAAGCTTTTTTTAATGGAAGTATAGTTAATATACAATATTATGTTGGTTTCAAGTATATAACATAGTGATTCCACAATTATCTACATTATTTGATGCTCACCCCAACAAGTGCAGCTACTATCTGGAAATGAAGGCTTTTGACCCACTAAGATGGTGGAAGGAACAGAAGAAGAGGAAGGTGGTTGAACTGCAGAGCATTTCCTAGAATATGGCAGTGGACTTCCTAAGAGAAGAGTAGGTTCTTGGTGTCACTGTATTTACACAATGGTTAACGAAGAGCATTTCTCTTTAAATCTAAATAATATTTTGTCACTTGCCAACAAGAGTTTTGGAAATAGTGGAATCTAACTCCAATTCAACATTTCAGTAGTATTCAAATCATTGGGATGACAGCCCTATAGTAAGAAATGCATTTCACATCATGACATAATGTGCACATTCATGCAGACGAATTTATATTACCGAAACCACAGTTTCACCAAATAACACTTACCCTTCTTACATGCAGTGCATTGTAATAGTTCACCTTCTCTTCTCAGTTCTGTTTTTACTCAATTGCATTTTTTAAATACAGCTTTACTCCATTAAATTTGTTTTGAGACCCTCTAATGGATCTTGACCTGTAGTTTGGGAAACACTGCAGTGTGTCTGCCATTCTTGGGTAAAGATTCAATCACTTGCTCCAGAGGGCTAACCACAGGTGAGACTCTCTGTGCTAGTGAGAGGCATCTTCAGGGGCTCAATTTCTTCTCATTCTCACAGAGAAAGCGCCTGATGTGACAACACAGGAGCTGATTGTGAGATGAGCATGTGGGACCATAGGCCATAGGCAAGACTCTGCAAGACAGGCTTGGATCATGTGTCTGCCCTCACCAGAAATGGGGAATATGGGCATCAGCAAAGTCCACCCTTCTTGGAAACCACCCCAAAGAATCATCAAATCAACTCTAATTTGGGTGATCCCAGAAGACGCAAAATAAGAAACAATGGAGTTGTGCTAAACATTTCAGTAAGCAGAGGAGTCCACAGACTGTATGACAGTTTTTCTGAGGGAAATTAAAAGTCAGGTAATGTTTGAGGGCACATGTGGCATCTCCTGGACTTTTCAGAGCCTCTGGCACTGCATTACCCATCCCACTTTAGACTCGTCTTTCGTGCTGTGTTGTCTGGGGGCTGGGAAACAGAATATGGGAATTTCTTGGTTTCTCTGTTTTTTTGTTTTGCTCCTTTCTCTGCACATCAGGCAGGTCTGAAGAAAGGTAGCCCCACCAGGTGTGTGCTTCCTGGCCTCTTACAGTCCAGGCCAGCAAGGGAGGAATTGGCTTTTATTGAGATCACGTGGGGAAGCACAACTAATGTGACAAGTACCAGCACCATAAAAGCAGCTGTTATTTTTGGTAGATTATGTTTTCCAGAGCTCAGAAACTAAACCAAGAATTTATTTTTAAAAAAAGAAAAGATGGCGATCACTGCACCCCCAGAACACTCCCTAATGCAGTGTAGATATTTAAAAGCACCATCCAACTTAACTTTGTTTATCGTCTTCTCAGGCTTCTACAGTCAAGTGTCTCTCTCCTGCGTGCCTCACCTTCTCACAGGTGTGCCCCATGATATAAAAGGAGGTGGAGCCCTCCGTGCTACCTCATATGGGTATTGGGCAGTAACAATATTGTGGCTTCCAGCATGGGTAACAGGATGGCCACCTCCAGAACCCACAGGATATAGTGTGGATACCAAACAGCTGACTGTCTCCTTTAGTTTCCAACGGTGGCATTTGAACTAGAGGAGTGTTACAAGATCACCTTCTTCAGTTCCCTTGACATATCACCGCAGGTCACCTGGCATACCCAACAGTGGCCTTCACTGCCAACCCCACCCCTTCCAAATCACTCCAGTTCCTCCTTGCCATTCCTAAATTCTAATAAACAGACTGTACTCACCACAGAGTTAAGTAACTCATTTCTGTGTTTCCCCCGTGGATAGTATTCTATGTTTCTACCCAACTTACACCTTCCTGCTTTGGCCTCCCGGCCTCCCCCTCTCCTTCTTCCCTGGGCACATGGCGTTCAGCTTTGACTGTTTGTTGACTGACTCCACAAAGTCTGTACTTACTTGGCATGGGTCCTTTCAGACAGGAAAACCAAGCTGCAGATGGGGCCTCCTAATCTCCTCCTAAGACAGAGTTCAGCCAGAAGGGAGAAGTGGAAATTTCTGATGAGGAATCTGGCCGTATGAAAGAGACTTCGCCAAATTTTCCAAGATACTGTCTGTAACGAGCAAAATGTGTTGATTATGACACATTCAACTGCCTGAAACAGAAAGGCCCAGACAGGCTCAAACTTATGAATGCATTGCCTCGTAACTTAAAAGGCAGGGATGGCTTGGGTTCCAGGAGAGAAATGTTTCGGTGCCAGGCAGTAATGTCACTAAGGACAGAGGTTATTTCTGTCCTTCCACTCTGCTGTCACTCCGGGGTTTGTTCTTCCAATAGCACAAGTTGACCACCCCTTGGGGAGGATGCCCCACACCTCTTGTTCAGACCCAGCTGCAGAAGATGGGTGAGAAGACGCTTTCCCCAGAGCCCTCTCCTTTGAGTCTGATTGGGCCAGAATAAGTCACGTGTCTGTTGCTGGGCTGAAACAGTTGCCAGAAGAATGCCAAATGCTGATGGGTATAGATCAAGGGTACTTGATGCAGCACTATTGATATTTTGGACTGAATTACTCTTTGTTGTGGGCCATTTTCTGTATTATAGGACGTTGAGCAGCATCCTGGGCTTTATAAAGCTTCCCATCACCACCAGTCAGGAGAATTAAAATGTCTCCAGATCCTGTCCCCTGGGGGGTTGGGGGAGGGAGGTGTGGAATAAATGAGAGTTCATGTGGCCAGGATTCTCACCTGGCCCTGGTTGACTAGCTCACTGCACACCTGTGGGCAATACATGGCTGTTGACTCTATATTTAGAGCTCTGCCCAGTGCTCTGGGCGTGACACGGTGGCAGGGCTGCAAGGCTGCAGGAGAGCAGAGCAGAGGCTGGAGTGGTGGCAGCACCGAGGACAGAGCCCCAGAGGATGGCTGTGCAGACAGAGGGGCCCAGAGGCAGAGACCAGCTTGCTGCATGTGGACTCGCTCTGAATGAATGGGATTCTAGTGACTGACCTGCCACTGGAAATAAACTTGGGCATAACCCTTTCACCCCAAGTACGTTTTGCTGTCATTTTGTTTGGTCACACTGAATCCATAGCGAACTTGCCTGGGGCTGAAACCCATTGGCAAGACAGGAGGGAACAATCACCCCTGGTTGAGAACCACCAGTGTACACTAATTAAGTTATTTATCGGCTCAGTGCCTCAGTTTTCTCATCTATAAAAGGGAATCATGATAGTAGCTCTCTCATATGATCATTATGGGAATTAAATGACTTAATTCATGTAACAATATAGAATTAGTAAGCACTATATAATTGTTAACTATTACTTTTATCCACTACTTTTAGTGTCTAGAATGTAAGAGGTATTTTTCTGAATGAATGAATGAGTGAATGAATTACATAGAAAAGGCATTTGTACACATGTGACATTGATGTAGTTCAGCAAAATAATATTCTATAATGGCACACCTGCTGAAAATTTCTGAAGTTGGGGGTATACTTTGCATTTCTGAGGCATTTAATTTCATCACTTGAGAAGCCCATTGTTCCCACTGGCATATAATGCCTTATTATCTGTACGAAGGTAAAACTTGGTGCCATTCAAAATTTACATGGCCTCTATGGAATGAGAAGGGTGAGCTAGTAGGAATCAGGGGCTTCAGAAGGACCTGCTGATGCATTCGTTTCGCACATGGAGTGAGTCCCCTCTGCAGCGTGTCCTGGAAACCAGGACTGAGAACATTCCTTACCTGGATGCCATGAGGTTGGAAATGAAGTCTCAGTCCAAGTCTTCAAGATGCTTGAGAGTAGTAGCCTAATGATATAATTTAAAAGTTTGTGCCTTTTATTTTCACTTGCTACTATTGCTATAATAACGTTTACATTTGAACAGTGTCCCCATACAATTTTAAAAATCGTTCTCACATGACTCTCTGAGAAGACTACTGGATGATTAAAGGGGGAGCGAATTCATATCACAAAGATACTTTATCTGCAGAAGCGGAACTTAAGAAGCCTGAAGGACTTAAGCAGGCCACCCAAACTGACCCACAATCATGGCATGGAAATCACCAGGGCTGAGGGAGTCAGCCAGTGACCACAAAGCCTTTCACGTGGAGATGGTGGTGGCACAAGTGCTTCCTTGGGGCCATTTCTCAGCAAATTAGTACAGGTCGTGAGTGGACCAGGGGTAAATACAATGGTAGAGATAAGTCATAGGAACTTCTAAGCACTGTGTGTTGAAAGCACGTGATCACCATGCTGAGATGCCACTAACATGTCAGGGAAAGATTTAAAAACCACATTACACATAAATTTCAAGGACAAAGAGAATGGAGCAGGAAGCATCATAGGTAAGAAGTAAGAAACTGGGACAGAGGAGATGAGGGGTGTGTGTGTGTGCGTGCACATGTGTGTGGTGTATACATTGTATGAGGGTGTGTGTGAGGGGTGTATGTATGTGAAATGTGTGTGAGGTGTATGAGATATGTGCGTGGTATGTGTGAAATGTGTATGTGTGGTGTGTGAGTATGTGGATTGGTATGTATGTGTATGAAATGTATATGAGGTGTGAGATACGTATTGGCGTGTGTATGAATGTGTGAGATGTGTGTGTATTTGTGGTGTGTGAGTGTGTGTTAGGGTGTGTATGTAAAAGGTGTTTGTGGTTTGTGTGGTATGGTATGTATGTGATTGTGGGAGGGCATGTGCGTATTAGGGGTGTGTGTGTGTAATGTGTCTGTGAGGTGCATGTGAGGTGTGTGTAGGAGGTTGTAGGGAGAAACTAAGGTCTCTTTATCATTGTAAGAAGTTGTCTCAGTGTGCGCTTGCTGCCATAATAAAATACCACAGACTGTGTGGCTTAGACAACAGACATTTACTTCCCACAGTTCAGGAGGCTGAGAAGTCCCAGGTCAAGGTGTGGTCCAGTTCAGTTCCGAGCTGGCTTGGAAATGGCCACTGTGTCACTGTGTCCCCAAATGGCCTTTTCCCTGTGTCTGAGAGAGTGTTCCGCTGTCTTTGCCTATTCTTTTAAGGGCACTAATCCTACAAGATTGGGACCCATCCTTTTGATCTCATTTAACCTTAGATACTTATGGCCCTGTCTCCAAGTACAGCACAATGGGGTTTGGGACTTCAATATACACATTTTAAGGAGACATAATTAATTCCATAACAGAAGTCAATAGAAGATAAGAAATGTAAAATCAACAAAAAGTCGTCTTTAGAAAATTATCTATTTGGGTCTTTGCAGTAAACCTTAGGACATCAACCTCAGCATTTTTTCTTCTGGGTAGTCTCCCCGGGCAAGAGAAACAAAAGCAAAAATAAACAAGTGGGACTACATCAAACTAAAAATCTTCTGTACAGCAAAGGAAACATCAACAAACAAAAAGGCAACCTACTTAATGGGAGAATATATTTGCAAACCATATATCTGATAAGCTGAATATCAAAAATATATAATGAACTCATGTAACTCAACACCAAAATGCCAATAATCTGATGTAACTTGTATATTTTAAAAATTAAATATAAATTAAATTGAAAGCAACTAACAAATCAGAGAAAAAAATTTCAAGTATAAGACAAATCAAATATGGATCCGATTTAACTCTGGTCCTGATCAACCCATAGAATCAGCTTTAGGACATTAAATAAGAATTCCTGAGAAAATCCAAGAAGCACAAATGTAACTGGGACAAACTGATAACCTGGAGAGGTTAAAGAAGAGAAACAAAAGAACAATCACTGGGCTAAAATGGCTCCTGCATTTATCTGCCATTTAATTATTGAGCCTTAACTGATGTCATAGGGTCTCACTGCATTTAAGCCCCTAGAGTATATTAAGATCTAAATATACCCAGTTATTTTTAAAAATCTATTGGGTGTTTTTATGGACTGAATGCTTGTTTCCTCCCCCTCCAAATTCATATGTTTTGAATGTCCTAAGCTCTAACCCCCAATGTGTCTATATTTGGAAACAGGGCCTTGGCCAAGATAATCAAGGTTAAATGAGGTTGTAAGGGTGGGGCCTTGATGCAATAGAATTAGTGTCTTTAGAAGAAGAAGAAGAAGAAGAAGAAGAAGAAGCCGCCGCAGAAGGTGGCCATCTGCAAGCCCGGAAGGGAGTCCTTACCAGGAACCAGCCACACTGGCACCCTGATCTTGAACTTTCAGCCTCCAAAACTATGAGAAAATAAGGAATTGTCAGCACAGAAAACAGAAAAGCAGCCAGCAATGGCCGCCTCCCCCAAACAGGCTTCCCACCTGGAGCTGCCCTGAGCTTAGACTGGGGAGAAGACTGAACATTATATAAAAGCTGGATCAGATATTTTTAATAAAGTGAATATGGAAATGAAGTTGTTTGTGAAACAGAGTGACCAGAGGGTTTCTTACTATTTAGAGGTAGTCAGAAAAGTCATGGACCTATTCTAGATTCATCCAAAAGGTAGCCCCAGAAAGCAGGTTTGAAGGGGCAGTGAGGTGTAGGTGAAGGGGAGATCAGTTGCACCCTTGTGTAATTAACACAGATCTCCCCTGAACAATTTCAGTGGTAATATGGAAGTAGAAGCCAGACTGCCATCGATTAGACTAAGCTTGAAGGAATGAGGATGTGTCTGCTACACACAAGGGCACATTTTCAAGAAGTGCGAAGAGGAGAGAGAAGGCAGTAGCTGGAGGATCATGTGGGATAAGAGACGTGTTTTAATAAGTGGGAGACATTAGAATATATACAAAAACCAGTGGAAAGAAGCTCAGTGTGCGGTGCCTGAGCAGACCAGAGAGGCGGATGGGGGACACAGCTTC